AACAACAACAACAAATGCAAACAGCATTTTCTGCCACCTTCCTAGTGAGTAAAAGTTCAAGCAGAGATAGTTGGGAGACACGTGTCCATCTCAACTGTGAGCATGATTATTCAGATGAATGCTGGTACCTAAAGGGCATTCACTCAGTCAGTACTCAGAAGAGAGGACACAGACAGTGGTAAGTATAATGAATGATATGTAAGCCATGAACCATATCAGGCATAAAAGCATACCCCATATCCTCCCAAACTGCTCCCCAGCTCCTTGCTCCTGGGGTTGGCACCTCCATCCCTAGCAACAACCATTATTGTGAGTCTTCAAATCAATTTCAACTCATAGCAAACTTATAGGACAGAGTGGAACTGCTGCATAGGGTTCCCAAGGTTGAAATCTTATAGCTAGTTTTTTTTTTTTTTTTTTTTTTTCTCAAAGGAGGTCTGGTGGGTTTGAACTGTCTGCCTTTGGGCTAGCAGCTAAGTGCTTAACCACTGTTGTCGGCAGGGCTCCTTGGGAACAACTAGACTCATTGTAGTAGGAGATACTGGTAACTAACTTTTATGGTGGTGGTGGTGATTGATTGTGTGCCATGGAGTCAGTTTCAACTCATAGCAACCCTGTATGGGGTTTCCGAGGTTGTAAATCTTTATGGGAGCAGAAAGCCTCATCTTTCTTCCCCGAAACAGCTGGTAGTTTCAAACTGCTGACCTTGCGGTTAGTAGCCCAACTCATAACCACCAAGCTATCAAAGCTCTTTTTATAGCTTCAAGGGAGGGGGGGGACTTGATGAAATTTTGGGGAGATTACAAAAACTTTATAAATTAATTTAGGGAAAGTTGATATGTACATAGTGTGTATCTTCTTATCAAGAGCATGGCTTTTCTAATCATTTGCTCAAGTTTATTTTTGTTTCTTTAAAAAGTGTTTGTATAATTTTACTTGCATAACATTTATGTGAGGAGCTCTGGTGGTACAGAGCTTAAGTGCTCAACCACTAATCGAAATATTAGCAGTTTGAACACTCACCAGTTGTTTAGCAGAAGAAAAACATGGCAGTTAGCTCCCATGATGATTTCAGCCTTGGAGACTCTTTGGGGCAGCTCTACTCTATCCTATAAGGTTACAATGAGTAGGAATTGACTTGACAGAAACAAAGAGTTGAAATTTGAGTCTTTTTTTTTTTTTTTTTTTTGTATTTATTATTTTATTTATCAATGGAACTTTCTTTTTCATTATATCCTTTATTGTTTTTTGTGTGTATATATGAAGACAACTGATTTTCATAACCAGCCACTTGACTGACTTTCTTACTGCTTATAATAGTTCTACTACTGGCTGTTCAGGGGTTCCATCTGAATAGTCATATAATCTGAAAATTTTTATTCTTTCTAATGCCTATGCCTCTAGCTTGCTCTTGGATTATGCTTTGGTTAATTCTTCAACTCAATGTTAAACAGTTGTAGAGAAAGTGAGGATCCTTATTTCTGACTTTAAGAAGAAAATTGTTAGTGTTTCTACATTAAGATACTGCCTATATGTTTAATATATTAATGAAATCAATGTATAGTTCTTGAGTTTTTTCAACAAATGTATGTAGTTGCCATTAAGCACTGTCAAGTCCATTCTACCTCATAGAGACTCTGCATAGGGTTTCTGAGGAGTGGCTGGAGAGTTTGAACCTCAAACCTCCCAATTCAAACCAACCTTATGGTCTCATGCTGATCCTACAGTGCCACAGCAGGACTACCAAAATGTAGCAGTTCAAAACCCACCAGCTGCTCCTTGAAAACCCTACATTGGGTCACTATAAGTCAGAACCAACTCCATGGCACTTAACAACAATTACTATGAACATTTATATAGTAGTTTTCATAGTAGTAAACTATCCCTATGTATCTAGACTAAGCTCATCTTGGTCATGGTCAAGAAGTGTTTTTAAAATATGCTGCTGCAGTCTGTTTGTTGTTATTTTAACTATGTTTTTGCATTGCTATTAATATATGAGATTAGTCTATAATTTTTAGGTACCATTTTTCTAAGACTTAGAAATTAAAATAACACCAGCTTCATTTGATGATTTTGGAAGTTTTCCTTTTACTGTGTTTCTAAAAAGCTTGTATAAAACTGTTACTATATGGAGTCCTGGTGTGGCACTGAGGGTTAATGCGACAGACTGAAAACTGCAAGGTTGGTGGTTCAAGCTCACCAGCTGCTCCTCGGAAACCCTATCCCTATGGATCAGAATCGACTCGATGGTATTTAACAACAACAACATTTAAAGACTTTACCATTTCATTTTTCTTATACTGATCAACAGGGGAGAAAGTAGAGGGTTAGAGAAGCTAAATTTCTTCAACATCTAACATTTGGTCCTTGGTCAGATGGGACTTAAATCCTAATGTTTGATTCCAAAGCGTATGCATGTAACATCATATTAGACAGCATTCTCCTAATAGTACATGTAACAACATTTAATTTATAGAGATGCTGTGAAAATTACATGGTACAAAATTCTGATTTAGGCTATGGAAGATTATAGCTTATAATAGACAAATAATTTTGCTAAAAATTACAAAATTTGAATGAAATAAAAAATTTTTAAGGCATCTAGGCAAATTAAAGGCAGCCAGAACTTGGTGGTAGTTGTTGTGTGCCATTGAGTCAGTTCTGTCTCATAATGACCCTGTATAGGGGTGCTAAGGCTATAAATCTTTACAGGAGCAGAATGCCTCATCTTTCCCCCATGGAGTAGCTTGTGGATTCAAACTGCTTTGTGGTTAGCAG